GAAGTAGAACGACTGTGGCAAAAGAAAGCAAAGATAGTACCAATAGTTATAGTCACCTTAGGTGCATTCCTAAGATCTGGAGCACCACTTGAACACCATCAGCACTGACAAAATCACCATCAGTCAATTGCAAAAGTCAGGTTTACTTGGAACAGCTTACATCCTAAGATGATACCTTTAACTCCATCAAAGAACAACATCTAAAGTTAAAAGTTTAGATCTTTATATGATTATTTAATAGTAAATACTCCATTACAGTGTCTGTATGTGTGTGTGTAATATACTGTATATATTTACAATATGTGTAGACATTTACGTCCCCTTAGAAGCCATACTATAAGTGACTATATTTTTCATGCTGTGTAATGTGTTGCATGTATGGGAATCATTCTTGCTTAATTTTGGTTAAATTTCTATTATGTACAGTATATAGACTGTTTCGCCACTGCTGCTTATTTTCCAGGTTTAAATTCCCAATCAGATATTGCTGGAGTTGTATCTGTCTTCCGGCATTGATCAAAATTTATCCTTGCTGTTGTAAACATATGTATCTCATTAAATTATTATATTTCTTATTTTTTTCTAAAATTATATCTAGTAAAAAAGTAATGGTTTCATTTCAAATTTAAATTCCAAGATTTTCTGCATTATACTCTAGATGTCTTTCCAGTACTGAAGGCAAAAGGAGAAGAGGACGGTAGAGGATGAGATGGTTAGATAGCATCACTGAAGTAATGAGCATGAAACTGAGCAAACTCAGGAAGGCCTGGTGCAATATGGTTCATGGGGTCACGAAGAGCCGGACATGACTTAACGACTGAACAGCAGTCTTTCCAGTAATTTTGAATTTCTTTACATCTCCACCATATGGTAAAATGCTCCTTCTGTTTCATGGCATTTCCAATATTTATTAATGTCTATCTTAGGTATTACTGATGGAGTTGTACACCATCTGTAGAACATTTTATAACAATTTTCCTTTAAGTTATAGCTTGGTATAAATTTTATAGATTTAATCCATAGTTTTTCCCATTGTTGTGCTGTGACTTTTTCTTTAAAATTGTGCATTCTTTTTGTCATACAGTTTTTTTGTTGTTGTTTTGATTCTGCCTCTATATCATATCT